GCGATCACGTGCGTTCCTCGGCCGCGTTTAATCGTTCGTCGCCGGGGCCCGGCGAGGAAAGGGTTGAGCCGTAAACACCGCCTGTTAACCCTTTGAGGCACGGTGGTTAACCCACGTTACCACCTCAACTTCTTTACTCTTTGCCCATTTAATTTCTAGTTAACGCATTAAGGTGGGGTTTTTTTTGGCATTTTTTTGGGTATCTTAGCAATAAGGAACATAAAAAAGGGTTGAGTAGTCTTTAGTATTTATTGTAAATGTTTTATAAATAAACAAATATATTAAAAAACAGCAATTTTTATCGGAAAAATTAATTATTGACCAAGTTTTTTAAGATTATTTCTCGGAAACTTCGTACAAAGGGGTTTTCGAGGTCGTTCATTGCGAATCTGATGTCAGATTTTCAAAATTCAAAATGGTCGACCCAAAATGGCGGACGCAAAGTACGTGAATTTTTTAAGTTTTCACGTTTTTCAGTGTTTTTGGTTTGATTATGGTGTTTAGGGACTCGTCACGTCCGCGTCGTTAGCTCTGGATAGTGCCAAGAATAAGTAAATTCTAAGAAATGATCAAATTTCAATTTTGCACCCATTTCGCGCGCGCTATTTTTTATATTCTATAAGAATTTTCAACTCGAATTTAGATTCCATGGGTCCTAATAATATCTAAATAATGTTTCTTTAAATTTTCTTAAAGTTTCTTTCGTAAAATGAGACGCAATCAAATATAACGAGTACAATAAAAGATGTAGTAGGGTGCTTTCCAGCAATGTACACAGGCGACACTGTGTAACACAGTGTACGAGTTGTACGACCCCAGTGCTTTCCAACTACGACACAAGTCGACACAAGCGTACACAGCTAAAATGGGGTGCTTTCCAGCAACGTACACAGGCGACACATGTGTTACACAGTGTACGACCCAGTGCTTTCCAACTACGACACAAGTCGACACAGTCGAACTTAGCTTTTTAGCTGTGTACGCTTGTGTCAACTTGTGTCGTAGTTGGAAAGCACTGGGTCGT